TCGGCAGTGGCGGAAGTGGAGTACCTGCAGATCCCCTATCGAGACATCATATTCCGGGACGTAGATATACAGGACTTTCACAATCTTTCACATATGTTCTGGACCTTTCACTCTTGTTCTCAGAAGCAACTGCAGTCTCGGCCCCCGGGAGCACCAGGTACACGTAGTAGACGCTAAATCGATATACGACACCATGCTCAAGGAGGGCAACGCGTCTGCTCGTGACCGCAAAACGGCGATTGACTTCGCTATCATATGTGAGGCCTTCGAACGGGCCCGAGGCTAGGTTCGGCGAGTCCCGCGCGGCCGCATGCCGGTCGTTTCCCCGACGAAGGGCGGCGCCGCAAAGGGGAATGCCGATCCCTTCTATTTGATGACGAGCGGCAGGCTGGTTCTAGTGGACGAAGGCGCCGAGGTTGAACGCCGCCGTGCCCAGCCAGGGCTCAAGAGCCGCGCCCTGGAAGCCTCCCGGAAGGTTTTGGACGAGACAACGTGGGTCTCATGGAAGGACCTCCAGGACCAGGTCCGGGTTGGTGGTAGTGGTGGTGGTTCCTCTCCTTCTCCTCTCTCTCTCTCTCTCTCTCTTTCTTTTTTTCCCAAGCCAGTTTCTATGCTTTCCAGCAACCTCATTCTCCGCTATTGTTTCCTCGTTGTTTTTCCCTCTCTCTTTCAGGGGCACCGACTGACAGTTCAGTACCTGCCTGTCCATCGTTGGTCACAGCGACCTAACGGTTAGAGGGTGCAACACCTATGATAAAGTTCGACCTTTGTAGTTGGCGTGCAGGATATTCGCGAGTAGGTTTTGTTTCAGGTTTCATCGAGTGTGTCTTGCCGTTGGGGCACGTTGGGTTCAAGGGAAAACATCTAGTGCCCCTGCTGCTGCCGCAACCGAGAAGCGGCGACGTGACACGCCCCCCCCACACAAACCCACCCCGACAAAACGTACGAAAAAACGTAAATGTTCAGTGAACCTCTCCGAACAAACAGCGACGACGATATGCCAAACACACATTCATCACAATAAATACAAGCCAACGCATGGCATGCGGTGGCGTATTTCTTCATGCGCGAATGAAAGACAATGCAAATCGCATGCCTCGAGAAGCTCAAACAAAACACGCGCGCCGCTTTTTGACTTCGCCGTGTGTGAATTCATTCCGCGCTTGCAATCTGCAACATGCTCTTTTTTTGCTACGATCGCTGCGAATCAGAAATTGCGTATTCGATTTCAAGGTATAGAATGTTTACTTCCGTTTACCCATTCCCTTGAAAGGCGGGCTGCGCCCCAAAGGACGCCGAGGAACCACGGAAAGACAACAGCGACGAAAGATCCTGCGAAGACTTCGTGCGCTCCCCGAAAACACGGAAAACGGCGACGCCAGATCTCGGGGGGGTACCCAGTGGAGTTGCCGTTGAGGGGGTGATGCGCTGAGAGGCATCTTGCCGCGCCGCTTCTTCCAGCGCGCGGCCCTCCGCCTTGGGGAGGGCGCCGCGGCCACCGGGGCAAACGCCGCCTCGGACGCAGAGATCACCATGGGTTTGCCGCGGTGCCGGCTCTGTCCGCCTGGGCGGCGCGCTCCGAGCAAGCGGCGCGGCCACACGTGCGCGTCCGCCGCGCGCAGGGGCGGCGCGCACGCGCGGAAATATCCTTGGTGTGAGCTCCTCGGCGGGCGCTTTCCGGCCATGCCGCTCGGGAAGCGGCCCGCACTGTATGCTGCAAGATGTTGTGCTATCCAGCTGCCTCCGCCACGTCCCGCCACCGTGCCAGCCCAGCACGGGAAGCCGTCGCGTGTGGCACCTCGTGCCTCCAGGTTTGGAGAGCCGTGATGAGTATGATGAGGGTTATGGGGATGATGGAGCTGATGGCGATTTTCACAATGATGATGGTAGTGCTGCTGCTGATGATGATGATGATGATGATGATGATGATGATGATGATGATGATGATGTGACGATGATACTAGCCATGATGACGATGCTGCTGTTGCTGATGATAAAGGTAGTGGTTGTGATGATGAGGGTGAGGATGAAGATGAAGACGATGATGCTGATGATGATGATGATGATGGTGGTGGTGATGCTGATGATGATCATGTTGACAATGATGATGATGATGATGATGAGGAGGAGGAGGAGGAGGAGGAGGAGGAGGGGGAGGCTGATGACGATGACGGTGGTTGTGGTGGTGATAATAGTGCTAATAAATGATGGTGATGGTGGTGGTGGTGGTGATGGTGGTCATAATGATGATGGTGGTGGTAGTGATGATGATGATGGTGAAGATTATGAGTGTGATCGTAACGATGATGATGAAACTGATGATGATGATGATGATGATGATGATGATGATGATGGTGATGGCGATGATGATGATGATGATGATGATGATGATGATGATGATGATGATGATGATGATGATGATGATGATGATGATGATGATGATACCACCACCACCACCCCAACTGGAAACTCCAGTGGGTACCCCCCCGAGATCTGGCGTCGCCGTTTCCCGTGTTCTCGGGGAGCGCACTAAGTCTGTGCAGGATTTTTCGTCGCCGTTGTTTCTCCGTGGTTCCTCGGCGTTCTTTGGGGCGCAGCCCGCCTTTCAAGGGAATGGCTAAACGGAAGTAAACATTCTCTACTTTGAAATCGAATACGCAACCTTTGATTCGCAACGATAGTAACAAAAACGAGCATGTTGCACATTGCAAGCGCGGAATGAACTCTCACACGGCGAAGTCAAAGGGCGGCGCGCATGTTTTCTGTGAGCTTCTCGAGGCATCCGATTTACATTGTCTTGTAATTCGCGCATGAAGAAATACGCCACCACATGCCATGCGTTGGCTTTTGTTTGTTGTCAGGTATGTGTTTTGGCGTGTCGTCGTCGCTGTTTGTTCGAAGAGGTTCACCGAAGATGTGCATTTCTTCGTATTTGTTTTTGTTGGGGTGGGTTTATGTGGGGCGAGTCGCGCCGCCGCTTCTCGGTGACTCGCGCCAACTGTGCAGGAATCGATGTTCTTCCCTTGTCTCTCTGAGCGGGTGGGTTAGATAAGAATAATGGAGAGTGAAATGATGATGATGCTGATGCTGATGCTGATGATGCTGCTGATGATGATGGTTATTCGTATTCTTATGATTGTGCTTTCTATGACGACGACGATGATGATCATGATGCTGATGGTGATGATGATGACGATGACTATCACGTTGACTCTGGCGTTGACGCTGAGTATGACGATGATGATTATGATTATGATGATGATGATGATGATGATGATGATGATGATGATGATAATGATGATGATGATGATGATGATGATGATGATGATGCTGATGATGATGATGATGATGATGATGATGATGGTGACGGTGATGGTGACGGTGATGATGATGATGCTGATGATGATGCTGATGATGGTGATGATGATGATGATGATGAGGATGGTGATGATGATGATGATGATGATGATGATGATGATGATGATGATGATGATGATGATGATGATGATGATGATGATGGTGCTGGCGATGGTGCTTGGTGAAAATGTTCTGCTACATGGTTGGGTCGGGCGCACTCCTCCAGGGAGGACGCACGGTCTTAGCATGTCCCCGTGCGACCCCAGGCGGGCCGCGCGAGGTGGCGAAGGGTCACCAGATGGCGACGCGGCCGCGGCGGCGGAGGGCCCCGAGGCTGCGGCCGCAGGGGCGGCTGCGCAGGTTGCCGCGGCCGGGGCCGAGGCAGGACCGCTTACACACTCCGATCGCGAGAACGTTTTTGTTATTCATTATCTTGCCGATCGGCGCGGGCCCTCGCACCCCCAGAGCTTGGCTGTTGCTGGCGCCTGTTGCGAGCAGGTGGGGCCTTCCCGGAGGACGCACCGTGTCAAACAGTCGCGCTAAGCAGGGGTCCAGAGCCAGACCCCTCCCCTCACCCCCTTCCTTCCGCCCAATTTCGAAGCGCCGAACAAGAAAACGTTCACATTCGAACCGCCGGTTCGAAAACGATACGGTAGGTTTGTGTCGTGTCGACCGGCGGCGACCCCGCCGCCAGAGTTCAAAGTTAAACGCCGCTGGCGACCCGGAATCGGTCGATTTGCACGACCTGACGTTTCGGAAATGGCCGATCGTTCAAGGTTGAAACATCCCCGCGGTGTCAGCAACCAACGCCGAAGTCGGCACGACAATGATCTGCCGTACATATGATAATCGAGGCGGAGGTTTTTCCTTGTTTTCGGTCTCCTGAGGCCCTCGCTGGGCCTCGGGGCCGTTAACAAAAACGATTCGGGATTGAGGAACCTGTCCCGAGGAATGGGTCGAGACCTCTGAGGGTCGACGTTTTGACAACATCATGAGCTCGGGGGTCTGGGTACGATCCCATCCGATGCGCTTCTATCGGCTCGATTCGATTCGATGCACCGGCGTCGGCCGGGATCCGCCGAATCCGGACTCGGCGGTGCGATCTCGGTTCGATCCGGGGCGGTTCGCTGGCGATCCGATCCGTCTGCGATCCGATCCGACCTCGCGGCGCGATCAAGCCGCACAGCGAGGAGGAGCGACCTCCCCGGGCGGCCTCTGCATCCTTCCCCCTTCGGCCCCTCCCTGGGCGCTCCATCGCCGGCCGCGCCCCGCCCGCAAAGTGCCGGCACGGCCCTCCAAAGTTGGAGGGGCCCAGGGACGCACAAACTTAAGTACACACGAGTCCCAGGACTCCCCATGCTTTCCCATACATTTTCTGGGTGCTCGTCTTCCCCCCCCCCCACTGCCCATAGTCATCTTCCCAGATCTTCTGCGGGATCGACGACGCATTGTGTCTGTGTGTTTTTGGCCCCCCTCCCGAGAAAGCCCTGACGCCCTTCTTGTCGTGCGCCCGTTGCGGCACGGGCCCGTGGCGCATGCGATGCAGCTCCTGCCACCGATGGGCCCCCGAAGCGGCCGGCGCAGGCCACGGCTGCCGGGGCCGAGCGCGCGAGGGGCGTGCTCGCGGGGGCGGGCGAGCCGGAGGCGGCGGCTGCAGCCGGGGCCGAGGGCCCGGAGAGGCTTCGGAGCTCAAGACCTTGAGATCCGACGCTCCCAAACAGAATCGGAGCAGGCGGTTTGGGCTCGTTTTCGGCCTCCGGGGGCCCTCGACGGGCCTCGGGAGCGTCAACAAAACGACTCCGGACGAAAAGCCGGTCCCGGGGAAGAGGTCCGGACCTCCGGGGCCCACGCATCGACAAAAAGTTGGAGGCGCTGGATGTCCGGGGAGGCGGGGGTCAATGCAGACGGGGGGTCAGTCCGAGCGCTGGATCCTGCAGGATCCTGCGGAGCCATGGGGGCACCTCGGCTCGGTCCTGGGCGCAGGATCCCGCAGGATCTCTTGCAGGATCTCTCGCAGGGCCTGGCTGACCCGGGTCTGGATCGGCCCGGGCCAGTGCGTCCCCCCGAAGGCTGCAGCGCGCCCTGGGCTTGGAGGCGGAGCGCGCGCGAGCAGCCCTCGCGGAGGTGTCTGGGAAACGTAAGGCTCGAGTGCGCCAGAGCTCGGGCTTGCCGACGCTGCAACACTCGTCAAAAATAAGCAGAAACGCATTTGGAGATCACGACGATCGATCTTCTCGGGCACTTGTTAGAAACTGCGTTCTTCAATGCTGCGGAGGGGTCGTCGGATTTTTGAAGCTCTTGCGTCCACGTCAGATATCTCGTGTCAGCATTGGAGTAGCGCTGACCATACAATCACCCAAAACAGAATCCCTCAGTTTATTTTTGACGAGGGTTGTAGTTGACGAGCGCATCCCAGCTTTGACGGTCCAGTTTTCGCGGGATGTCTGCTGCGGGAGCTCGCTTCGAGTTTCAGGCTGGGTCTCGTGGAGGGGAAGGGGAAACTCCAGGAGATATGCTGAGATGCGGGGGATCCTGGGATTTTTGTGTCAATTCGTTTGTGTGTCCCTGGGCTCCTTCAGAGGTGGAGGAGCGGGACGCCGCTTTGGCAGCGGGGGCCGAGAGTGTGCAGAGGCTGCAACACAGCCTGGACTCCGAGGCGGAGTGTGCGCGAGCAGCCCGCGTGGAGGTAGAGGAGAAGGACGCCACAGTCGCAGCGAGTGCAGAGAACCTGGAGAGGCTGCAGCGCGCCCTGGACTTGGAGGCGGAGTGCGCGCGAGCAGCCCTCGCGGAGGTGTCGGGGAAACGTGGGGCTCGAGTGCGCCGGAACTCGGGTTCGCCGACGCCAGTTGACGAGCGCGTCCCGGCTCTGACGGCCCAGTTTTCGCGGGGTGTCTGCTGCGGGAGCTCGCGTCAAGGTTCAGACTGGGTCTCGTCCTTTTTTGATGATGGCCCCAGGAGGTTGCGGGGGTGGACAGGCCTCCTACCCTGACACGTCGATAGGCGAATTGGCCGTTGTCGGTTCGCGAGAGGGCGTCGCGGCCGTCATTTTTGCGGGTCCAGGTCCGTCAGTTTCGGTCCCAGGCCGTTTTCACTAAAGGGTGGTTCACTAAACGGAGGTTTGTCCACCGCCGAAGGTTCAGGAGGGGAAACAAAAAGAGGCTCAGGCACTATGACACGTAGATTTCCATGAAGATCTGGGGAAATATGGGGAGTGGAGGGGAAGGCGAAACTCCAGGAGATATGCTGAGATGCGGGGGATCCTGGGATTTTTGTGTCAATTCGTTTGTGTGTCCCTGGGCTCCTTCAGAGGTGGAGGAGCGGGACGCCGCTTTGGCAGCGGGGGCCGAGAGTGTGCAGAGGCTGCAACACAGCCTGGACTCCGAGGCGGAGTGTGCGCGAGTAGCCCGCGTGGAGGTAGAGGAGAAGGACGCCACAGTCGCAGCGAGTGCAGAGAACCTGGAGAGGCTGCAGCGCGCCCTGGACTTGGAGGCGGAGTGCGCGCGAGCAGCCCTCGCGGAGGTGTCGGGGAAACGTGGGGCTCGAGTGCGCCGGAACTCGGGTTCGCCGACGCCAGTTGACGAGCGCGTCCCGGCTCTGACGGCCCAGTTTTCGCGGGGTGTCTGCTGCGGGAGCTCGCGTCAAGGTTCAGGCTGGGTCTCGTCCTTTTTTGATGATGGCCCCAGGAGGTTGCGGGGGTGGACAGGCCTCCTACCCTGACACGTCGATAGGCGAATTGGCCGTTTTCGGTTCGCGAGAGGGCGTCGCGGCCGTCATTTTTGCGGGTCCAGGTCCGTCAGTTTCGGTCCCAGGCCGTTTTCACTAAAGGGTGGTTCACTAAACGGAGGTTTGTCCACCGCCGAAGGTTCAGGAGGGGAAACAAAAAGAGGCTCAGGCACTATGACACGTAGATTTCCATGAAGATCTGGGGAAATATGGGGAGTGGAGGGGAAGGCGAAACTCCAGGAGATATGCTGAGATGCGGGGGATCCTGGGATTTTTGTGTCAATTCGTTTGTGTGTCCCTGGGCTCCTTCAGAGGTGGAGGAGCGGGACGCCGCTTGCGCGCTGGGGGTCGGGAGCCTGCAGAGGCTGCAGCGCGTCCTGGACACAGAGACGGCGTGCGCGCGAGCATTCCGCACGGAGGTAGAGGAGAGGGACGCTGCACTCGCAGCTGAGGCCGAGAGTTTGCAGGAGCTGCAGGACATCATTGACGCAGACACCGAGTGCGCGGAGGGACTGCAGCGGGCCTTCGACGCAGAGACGGAGTGTGCAGAAGCAGCCCTCATGGAGGTGGAGGAGCGGGACGCCATCTTAGAGGCTTACGCCAGAGCTGGTGTTCAGAGCGTGGAGAGATTGAAGCACGTCCTGGACTCTGAGACAGAGTGCAGCCGAAATGCCCGCATAGAGGCGGAGGAGCGGGACGCCGCGTTGGCAGCTGGCGCTGAGAGTTCGAAGAGGTTGCAGCACGTCGAAGAGACCGAGCAGGAGTATACTCGGGCAGCCCGAACGGAGGTGGAAGAGAGGGACGCCGCAGTTGCAGCTGGGTCTGAAAGTTTGGTGAGCCTGCAGCACGCCCTGGACTCAGAGACGGAGTGCGCACGAGCAGCCCGTTCGGAAGTGGGGGCGCGAGACGCTGCAGTCGCAGCGGCGGTGGAGAGCTCGCGGAGGCTGCAGCGCGCCCTGGACACCGAGGCGGAGCGTGCGCGCGCAGCCCGCGCGGACGGCGACGCGGCACGCCGGGCCGCGGCGGAGAGCCTGCAGGAGCTGCGGCTCGCCCAGGCCTCGGAGCTGGAGCGCTCGCGAGCGGCCCGCGCGGAGGCGGAGGAGCGGGGCGCCGCCGCGGCGGCCGGGGCCGAGCGCCTGGAGGCGCTGCGGCGCGCCCTGGACGCCGAGGCACAGTGCGCGCGGGCGGCCCGCGGGGAGGCGGAGGAGCGGGGCGCCGTCCCGGGGAGGCCAGCGCCGCTCTCCGCCCGCCCCTCGGGGGTGCCCGGCTGGCCGGGGGGGCGCGTCGGAGGGTCGGCCGCGCGCAGAGGGGGGGGGGGGGGTCCCAGAGATCCGGCGCTCCAGGCAAAGATCGGAGCAGGCGATTTTTTTTTTGGTTGTGTTCGGCCTCCGGGGGCCCTCGCCGGGCCTCGGGGGCGTCAGAGAACGACTCCGGATGAGAAAGACGGTCTCGGGGAAGTGGTCCGGACCTTGCCCACGCATCGAAAAAGTTGGAGCAGCTGGATGTCTGGGTTGGGGGAGGGGGGAGGGCCTCTTAGCAGCACCCCTGCTTCTTGGAGGGCGCGGGCCTGTGGATGTAGGGCCAGAGCCTTCTAAGAATCAGCCTCCTTCTAAGAAGCCTTCCCCCCTCCTCTTGCCCCCCTGTGCGCGCCGCCAAGAGGGGGCACGGTGGGAGAGAGCCCGAGCCCCGAGTCATCGGGGCTGAGGGTGGTCCTAGGGGTAGCTCCTGGTGCGTGGCTCGGGGGCCCAAGTTGCCCTGGGCCGAAGTTATTCCAGATGACTCGGGCGTCCGATCAACCACTTCCGAATCATCGGGCTGGGGGTGGTCCTAGGGGTAACTCCTGGTTCGTGCCTCGGGGGTCTAAGCCGGGGCTACCGTGGACCAGAGCTGTCCCGGATAACTCGGGCGCCCACGCGACGGAGAGAGGGGGGGGCGAGGAGATCGATGGTGATGAGGTGTGCGGTCAGGATCGCCTGCTCAGCGTGTCACGCCGCCAGTTCTGGCCCACCACGCTGCGGCGCGATAGTCCAGCCAGCCCATGCAGTGGAGGCCCATGCCAAGAAGCACCCTGCTTGCCACCAAGGTGCCCTGGGTTTCTTGGGGTTCGATGGTTTTGCCATGGAGAGCTTGACGTTCCCACACCAAAAATCCATGGACGTCCTGGGGTCTCAGGGTTGGGTTTCTTGTGGAAGGTTTCTTGTGGGCTGGCCTCCACTGTAAGTCCACCGTAAGTCCACGTCCATGTCCATGGCTCCCAAATTTCAGAAAGAAGTGTTGAATGGATTGCATGAACAATCTAAGACATTTCAGCACAAAATGGAAGCATGCGTGTGGCGCGTATTCTTACGTATGTATATATTTTCTCACTCAGCCCTCCCGCTTCTCTGCTTCGCGAGCTCTGTCGTCATTGCGTTCGTTATCGCTCACCTTCGGGCGACATCGCTCTCGCGTTTTCGCGTGGCCCCAAGAAGACATTATTTGAATGTTCGAAGTTTTTGGGCCCCCAGGGGCCATCACCGGGCCCTTGGAACGTCCGAAGCCACTGGCGATGCAAGACTGGCCCTGGGGAACTGGCCGAGACCTCTGGGTGTCCACGTTATGCTCCTTTTTCATGAAAAGCCAGAGAAAACATGACGTTGGGGGTGAGACTGGGGAGCAGCTACGTATCTCGCGCACCCCTTGTCGCCCCCCCCCCCCCCAAAGAAGGGGCCAGCGGACAATAGCAGCTGAGTGGACACGTGCGGAGAGGCTGCAGCACGTCTTGACCTTGGACTCGGAGACGGAGTGCGCGCGAGCAGCTCTCGCGGAGGTGGAGGAGCGGGACGTCGCGGTTGCGGCTGCGGCTCAAAGCGTGGCGAGGTTGCAGCAGGTCTTGGATTCCGAGACCGAGTGTGCGCGGGCAGCCCGCGCGGAGGTGGAGGAGCGGGACGCCACGGTGGTGGTTGAGATTGAGAGCGTGGCGAGATTGCAGCACCTCCTGGATTCCGAGACGGAGTGTGCGCGAGCAGCCCGCCTGGGGATGGAGGAGCGGGATGCGGCGGTAGCAGCACGGTCTGAGAGCCTGCAGAGGTTGCAGCGCGCCCTAGACTCCGAGACGGAGTGTGCTCGAGCAGCCCGCATGAATGTGGAGGAGCAAGATGCGGCCGTTGCAGTTGCAGCTGAGAGCTTGGAGAGGCTGCAGTGCGTCCTGGACTCCGAGACGGAGTGTGCGCGAGCAGCCCTCATGGAGGTCCGGAGCCGGGACGCCGCGAGCGCACTCGAGGCTCAGAGCTTGGCGGAACTGCAGCTCACGCTGGAGTCTGAGGCGGAGTGTGCGTTGTCGGCCCGCACGGAGGTGGAGGAGCTAGACGTTGGACTCGCGTCGGCTGTGGAGAAGTTGCAGAGGCTGCAGCGCAGCCTGGACTCCGAGGCGGAGTGCGCGCGAGCAGCCCGCGCGGAGGTCGAGGAGCGGGACGCCGCGGTGGCAGCCGGGGCGCAGAGCCTGGAGCGGCTGCGGCGCAGCCTGGACTCCGAGGCGGAGTGCGCCCGAGCAGCCCGCGCGGAGGTGGCGGAGCGAGACGGCGCGCTCTCAGCTGGGGCTGAGTGTGTGGCGAGGATTCGGGGGCCACATGTGAACCCTACCCCTGCCCCCCACCGATTTCTGAGGGGAGGGTGGGGTGCACTTCGCTCGGGAGCTCCCGAACGAAGTGAACCCCACCCTCCCCCTCGGAAATCGTGGGGGGTAGGGGTAGGGTTCACATGCGGCCCCCTAAGGATGCAACAGGTCGAGGAGACCGAATTCGGGTGCGCGCGAGCGGCCCTCACGGAGGTGGCGGAGCGGGACGCCGCGGTTGCAGCCGGGGCTGAAGCCTTGGAGAGGTTACAGCACGCCTTGGAGTCTGAGAAACGGTGCGCGCGAGCGGCCATCATGGAGGTGGAGGAGCGGGACGCCGCGGTTGCAGCTGGGGCTGAAAGCTTGGAGAGGTTGCAGGGCGTCCTTGAATCTGAGATGGAGTGTGCACAAACAATCCGCACGGAGGTGGAGGAGCGGGACGCCACGGTTGCAGCTGCGGCGGAGAGTGTGGAGAGATTGCAGGCGGAGTGCGCGTGGGAAGCGTGGGAAGCGCGCACGGAGGTCCGGGACCGTGACGCCGCGAGCGCGCTTGAGGCTCAGAGCTTGGAAAGGGTGCAGTGCGTCTTGGAATCTGAGACAGAGCTTGCGCGAGCAGCCCGCGCGGAGGTGGTGGAGCGGGACGCCGCGTTCAAAGCCGAGGCCGAGTTCATGGAGAGACTGCAGCGCGCCCTGGACTCGGAAGCGGAGTGCGCGCGGGCAGCCCGCATGGATGTGGCGGAGCGGGACGCCGCGGTGGCAGCTGGGGCTCAGAGCCTGGAGCGGCTGCAGGGCGTCCTGGATTCCGAGATGGAGCATGCACAAGCAACTCGCACCGAGGTGGAGGAGCGGGATGCCGCAGTTGCAGCTGCGGCTGAGAGTGTGGAGCGGCTGCAGCAAGTCCTGGACTCTGAGACGGAACGTGCGCAATTAGCCTTCATGGAGGTTGAGGAGCGGGACGTCGCATTGACAGCAAGTGTTGGGAGGTTGCAGCGGTTGCAGCACGTCCTGGACTCCGAGACGGAAAGTGCGCGAGCAGCCCTCATGGAGACGGAAGAGCGGGACGCCGCTTTGGCAGCGGAGGCCTTGAGTGTGGAGAGGCTGCAGCACAGCCTGGACTCTGAGGCGGAGTGTGCGCGAGCAGCCCGCGTGGAGGTGGAGGAAAGGGACGCCACAGTCGCAGCCAGGGCCGAGAGCCTGGAGAGGCTGCAGCGCGCCCTGGACTCCGAGGCCGCGTGTGCACGGGAAGCCTGCACGGAGGTGGTGGAGCGGGACGCCGCTGTTGCAGCTGGGGCCGAGGGCCTGGACAGGCTGCAGCGCGTCCTGGACCACGAGACGGAGTGCGCGCGGGCGGTCCACGAGGAGGTGGCGGAGCTGGATGCCGCGGTGGCGGCTGCGGCCGAGAGGTCGGAGCGACTGCACCACGTCCTGGACTCCGAGGCGGAGTGCGCGCGAGCGGCCATCCTGGAGGTGGAGGAGCGGGACGCCACGCTGGCAGCCGCGGCGGAGAGCCTGGAGAGACTGCAGTGCTTCCTGGACTCCGAGGCGGAGAGCGCGTGGGAAGCGCGCTCGGAGGTCCGGGACCGCGACGCCGCGAGCGCGCTCGAGGCTCAGAGCCTGGAAAGGGTGCGGGGCGCCCTGGAGTCTGAGGCAGAGCTTGCGCGGGCAGCCCGCGCGGAGGTGGCGGAGCGGGACGCCGCGTGCCAAGCCGAGGCCGAGTGCCTGGAGAAGCTGCAGCACAGCCTGGACTCGGAGGCCGCGTGCGCGCGGGCGACCCGGGCGGAGGCGGCGGAGCGGGACGCCGCGGCGGCGGCCGGGGCCCAGAGCCTGGAGCGGCTGCAGGGCGTCCTGGACTCCGAGGTGGAGTGTGCGCGGGCAGCCCGCACCGAGGTGGAGGAGCGGGATGCCGCAGTTGCAGCTGCGGCTGGGAGTGTGGAGCGGCTGCAGCAAGTCCTGGAAGGGACGCTGCAGCTGCAGTCGGAGGAGCGCGACGCTGCGGTCGCAGTCGGAGCTCAGGTTACCTTCAACCGCGTGCTCGACTCGCATCATTGGCTCTCGCCGTGTCGTTGCCTCTGATCGTCTTCAGATGCCACTCGCTGTCCTCCGCACTCTCCATCCTTCTGCTGCTTCTACTGTGGCTTCGCCTCATCATGCTTCCCCTTGCATCGTCGCCGTGCTGCAGCATGGCAAGCGTGCTGCTACTCGGTCAGGCAGGGCGGATATGGGTCGCATCGGGTCGGGTCAGGGAATGACAAGCCAAGGTGCAGTGCGCAGCCAGGCGATTACGCACCAACGCTGTCAAATCAGGTTAACGGACGCAATCCGACACAGGCTCCAGATATGTGTTCGTTTGTGTACTTAGCAGCCCCTCCTGCTGTGGACTCTACATGAGCGAAGTTGCGAGAGGGGTGCGAACAGCACTGGCACTTGTGTGCGTCCCAGCACTGAGTGTGCGCACTGCCCCCTTGGCCTGCAGGCTTGCTGTGTGCGAGCTTCCCACAGGGGGGTGCATATCTCAGGCGATCGTCAACATGGATCAAGGGAGGTATGGATCAGCGACGGGCCCCGCTTCCGTGGGACATCGCGGACCTCCGCCGCCGAACGAGGCGGCACTGGCTGGCGCCAGATCCTTGGATCGCTAATGCATGTTTGCGCGTCCCCGCATATTCAAGCAGTGGCGAAGCGTCCTGGCGTGCCTATAGGATTACCAAACACTGTTCTAAGAACCTCTTGTGGCTTCCACGACATGTTGTTAGAACATTTCTGGCTGGGACTGTCTGATTCTAGCACATCGGTTTTTTCTGGTTCCAAGAACACTGCTCTTGGTCTTGGAACATTCTTGGGTTCCAAGAGCATGTCGTGGCGGGCCCATAGGAATGCCAGGACGGTCGGCCCCTGCTCAGCCTATCGCACTCGGCATGGCGCCTTCGACGATCGACGTGTCAGGTTGGCCGACGACGGTGCGCTCAGCGGTGCTGCCTGCCTCCCTCGGCCGGGGACGGGGCGGTGAGGCGGTGCGGCACCGGGGGAGGCCGCCGCTCGGGCCACTGCGGCAGCTCTCGCTCGGCGTCCTCGCCACGGAGGTGCCCCCGGGGGAACGAGCAGTGACGCAGACCGCAGAGCTCGGAGGTCCGCGCGGATGCCTCGGAGCCGCGCTGGACCCCCCGCCCTGGCGCGCGGAGGTCCGCGCGGACTGTGCGGATCCGCGCGGCCCTCCCAGTGTGAATGCTCATGTCGTTGTTCGTTCCCCCAGCGGCGGGCCTCGGGGGAGGCGGGTCCTTGGCCTCGGGGCCGTGCCCGAGAAGGCCGCGGCAGCTGCAGGGGGTGGAGTCCGAGCCGCCGCGTGCGCTCGCCTCGAGCGCGTGCAGATCCAGAGCCGTTTCTTGTTGGTTGGCGGCCCCGGGGCCCGTGGGGGTCCTTGGGGGCCCGAGGACGGCAACCAGCAGGACCCTTTTTCCTCAGGACCCGCTTCCCTCCCTCACCACCCAGCAAGCCCCAACCCAACCACCACCCAGCAGACCACCCCGACCCAACCCGAAGGCACCAGTCTGCCCTCCATGCCCAGTGGAGCGGGGGCGTCGGGGAGCATCGAGGAAGCACATGTGGAACCCGTCTCTCCCCAACCCGAGGTTTTGGTTTTCGGGTTAGGTTTGGGTGTTCTGGTAGGTAGTCACTCGTGTAGGGCGTTCCAGAAAGGGCCTCGCCTGCCAGGGTCGCAGGAGCTGGCATCTCTCCCTGGGCGACGGGCGGCGGCGTGTCGGCGGAAGCTGGCGGACGTCGAACGAGGTCACCTCTGCCAGCGGAAGCCGGCGGAAATGTAGCATGCACCCCAAGAGGTGTCAGCCTTTTTTGGGTTCAGGGTTTGTGGAACCAGCCATGTGAGCGACACAGTTTTTTGATTCGCGGGTCGAGAGCGCATCTCTTCCAGTCGAAGCTAAGCGGGCCGCGCGAAGCTTGAATTAACAAAGAGGGGGAGGAAGGGGGGAGTGCGCAGCCTCAGGGCGAGGCCGGGAATGTGAGCGACACAGAACCCGGGGTCGTTGGCGCGGACATTGGCGCGTTGGCTCCCCTTGCAGAGTCGCGTGCGAGCGCCATCGTCTCCCGGTGTGGCGCGCCGCGCTGGCGGCCCGCGTGGGCCACTGCGTGAGGTCGCTGCGCCATCTCGCGAAAGGCCTGTTTCTTGTCGTCGCCCACGTCAGTTTCACTTTCTGCCAAGCAATGGAGTGGGAGGTTGGAGGGTGACGAGGAGCAGGACGAGGAGGAGGAGGAGGAGGAGCAGGACGAGGAGGAGGAGGAGGAGGAGGAAGAGGAGGAGGAGGAGGAGGAGGAGGAGGAGGAGGAGGAGGAGGAGCAGGACGAGGAGGAGGAGGAGCAGGACGAGGAGGAGGAGGAGCAGGACGAGGAGGAGGAGGAGGAGGAGGAGAGTCTGTAGCCATTTTGGCCGAAGGCGCAGCGCGTGCCCCAGCCATCTTGGCTCCACCGGGCATGGCGTGGCGCCTTTGGCAGGATTGGCACCGGAGGGTGGCGCCGGTGGCGGTCCAAGGCCTGCGGCAGTGGAGCGCAATGCGAGGAGAGCCCGGGCACGCAGGTCCGCCGCCGCCGACAGAGCGGCAGCCAAGCTCCTCGGGCGCCCTCAAGGCCCAACAGTTAGGTCTGGCCTGTCCCCCTACAGGGGCAGTTCGGGCGAAACATAAAGATCGGTCAAACAGATATTCCCCGAATGCTGAAAAATAGTCCAAACATCGTCCCCTGACTATTCTTTGACTATTTTTGAGCATCCTTCCTGTAGAGGGACACGCCCGACCTAACCCAACAGAGCGAGTTCAAAAGCAACTCGAGGACGCCCTCGGGTTGCTCATCGGCAGCGGCGAGGTGGCCAGTCGAGTTCGGGGCCTTCTCGCAGCGCTCTCGGCGCGGGTGGAGGGGCGGAGGCCTGCGTGGCTCGACAAGTTGCGCCGAGCCGTCTCCCTCCGCGCCGAGGAGGCGCTGGACTTCGCCACGGCCCCGCCGCGGGCCCTCCGAAGAGCCAGCGGAGGCAAACGCATCGCAGCACGGCAAGCGGCCGGCGCCGCGGAGGCGGCCGCGCCAGGCCTGCTGCGCGGGGAGACGCCCGTCTTCCCCCCTCTTTGGCACGGTCTCCGACGGCGACGGCTGCAGGCAGAGCTACTGCACGGGGACCAGCTCGTGCGAGAACGGGCGGCAGTGGCAGCACGATCCGTACGAGGAAGCGCCACTAGCCACAGTGCGAGAGACAGCCAGGCGTCGTCAGCTACAGTGCGAGAAGCAGTCAGACGTTGAAGCCTCGGCGCATCCAGACGTCATCAGCTACAGTACAGGGCTAGCCCATGCGCTTACGGACGGCAGTGGCAGCAAGCTTCGGGCGATGAGGCGTCATCAGCCACGGTTCGAGAGGCAGCCAAACATCATCAGCCACGCTGCGAGAAGCAGCCACAAGTGGAAGCCTCGATGCAGCCAGACGCCATCAGCCACAGCGCTGGGCCCAGCTCGTGGGAGGACGGACGGCAGTGGCAGCACGCATCGTTCGAGGAGGCGTCGTCAGCCACAGCGCGAGGAGCAGACAGACGCGATCAGCTACAGCGCGAGAAGCAGTCAGAGGTGGAGGCCTCAATGCAGCCAGACGTCATCAGCTACAGGCCTGGGACCAGCCCGTGCGAGATCGGATGGCAGTGTCAGCAGGATCCGTAAAAGGAGGCGCCATCAGCCATAGTGCGAGAGGCAGCCAGGCGTCATCAGCCACGGTGCGGGAAGCAGCCACAAGTGGAGGCCTCGATGCAGACAGACGCCATCAGCCACAGCGCTGGGCCCAGCTCGTGGGAGGACGGACGGCAGTGGCAGCAGGCATCGTTCGAGGAGGCAACCAGACGTCATCAGCTACAGCACTGGGACCAGCTCGTGCGAGATTGGATGGCAGTGGCAGCAGGATCAGTACGAGGAGGCGTCATCAGCCTCAGTGCGAGCAGCAGCCAGGCGTCATCAGCTACAACGCGAGCAGCAGCCAACGGAGGTCTCGACGCAGCCAGGCGTCATCAGCTATAGCACTGGGACCAGCTCGTGCGAGAACGGTCAGCAGTGGCTGCAGGATCCGTACGAGAAGGCGCCATCAGCCACAGTGCGAGAGACAGCCAGGCGTCAGCAGCTACAGTGTCAGACGCAGTCAGACGTTGAGGCCTCGGCGCAGCCAAACGTCATTAGTCACAGTTCAGGGTCCAGCCCGTGCGCTTACGGACGGCGGTGACAGCGATCTTCGGGTGAAGAGGCGCCATCAGCTGCTGATCGAGCGGGAGCCAGATGTCATCGTCTTATCGAGGAGAAGCGTGCGCTTCCTGAGGAGAAGTCTGATAGTCCCGTGAAGGATGCGATTCGCGCAGATGAGCGTTCTATCCGCGTCGATGCCATGGGTGTCTTCCGACAGCGCTGCGTCAGCCAGGCTCGACAGCCGAAATGCGAGGCCACTGCATCCATCGAGCTGGTTGTTCGCCATGCCCTGGCTCTGCAACACTTTGAGTGCGAGTGCGCTCTCTTGCGCACCAGGCTCCACAGCCTGTCCCCGACACTCGTGAACCAAGTCGCCACGCTCGGATTCTTACAGGTCCACCACCCGGGCGGAACCTGAACGATCACGGTCGCGTGGCGTTAAGTTGGGCCTGTCCATCTACAGGGGGAAAGTTCAAACATAGTAGAAAACTGTCTGGGGATTATTTGTTTCATTATTTTCGGGCATGAGGGAAGTATTTTTGGGGGGTAGTCTTGATTTTTCCCCAAAATCCACCTGTAGGAGCACAGGCCCGACCTAAGCGTGGCGCGACCCAGCAGGCAGCCCTCCAGGGTGAAAAGCCGGCAGCGGCAGCAGGCACACGGAGGGCCGCGGCCAGCAGGGGCCGACGCTTGGGGGAGCGCGGGCTGCGAGGAGGCCATTGGGCCACAGTGCTTGCTGGATGCGGCTCGCTTCGCTTTCCCTTGGCGTTCCTCGGCGCATCGCTGGGCTCGGCCCGTTTCGTGCCGGGGCCCTCGGCCTCGGGGGTCCAGCCGTTCTGGGCCCCTCGTCGCCTGCACCGCTGTTGCCCTCGAGGGTGGCATCTATACCCAGATGCCAGAAGCTCGACCTGCCGACCGAGGAGGAGGAGGAGGAGGAGGAGGAGGAGGAGGAGGAGGAGGAGGAGGAGGAGGAGGAGGAACAGGCGGAGGAGGAGGAGGAGGAGGGAGGAGGAGGAGGAGGAACAGGCGGAGGAGGAGGAGGAGGAGGAGGAGGAGGATGAGGAGGAGGAGGAGGGGAGGAGGAGGAGGAACAGGCGGAGGAGGAGGAGGAGGAGGAGGAGGAGGAGGGAGGAGGAGGAGGAGGAGGAGAGGAGGAGGAGGAGGAGGAGGAGGAGGAGGAGGAGGAGGAGGAGGAGGAGGAGGAGGAGGAGTGAGGTGAGGGAAAAAGGGTGGACGGGGGACCCCCAAGAGGAAAAGGACAGTGAACTTCGTCGCACGTCCGCGCACCTCCTCCCAGAGGCAGCCCTGCTTCCGTGCCTCGCCCGCCGGAGCAACGACGCGTGCGCGGACGTCTCCCCCCGGGGCGACCCTTCTCCAGGGGGTCGCGGCCAGCCTCCCGCAGGCCCCGGTCCAGGGAGGCCCCGCCGCGGCCTCAGTGCTTGGCGCCTGTCCCGAGGAGCGCGGGCCGAGATCCTGGAGAGCCTGGTGGAGGAGCTGAAGGCGGGGCAGCCGAGAGAACGCCCTGGCCCTGTCTCTCATGGGGGAGGGCGGGAAGTGATTGGGAGGAAGGGGGAGGAGGAGGAGGAGGAGGAGGAGGAGGAGGAGGAGGAGGAGGAGGAGGAGGAGGAGGAGGAGGAGGAGGAGGAGGAGGAGGAGGAGGAGGAGGAGGAAGAAGAGGAGGAGGAGGAGGAGGAGGAGAACGAAGAGGAAGAAGAAGAAGACGAGGAGGAGGAGGAAGAAGAGGAGGAGGAGGAGGAGGCGGATCTGGGTGGCGGGGGGAGCATACGGCCAGTCGCCTCTGCGAGAGAGGCGGCTGGATACCCCCAGGCGGAGCGTGCGAAGACGGCCCGCGTGGCATCGGAGGAGCGAGGCGCCGCGGCTGCAGCCGCGGCCGAGGGCCTCGCTAGGCTGCAGCGCCTCCTGGACTCCGAGGCGGAGCGTGCTCGTGCCGCCCGCGCGGAGGTTCAGGGGAGGAACATATATACGATACCGCTGCTCGTCCTGGAGAGCCCTCGTCGCCACGGCTGGATCCTCTTCGAACTGTTGGTCAGAATGCACCCCAGGAGAGGTCTGGGGAGTTGCGGTATCGGCACCTTTTTGTTTCCCCAGAGGCGGACCACCGCCACCGAGAGGCCATCGGGCAGGGCCGAGCCCTTGGCTGTGGCACGTCTGAGCGTCGTCCCGTGCCGAGTGATGCTCGGGCGTGCCGCCGCCCATGGATCGGCCCCGCGATGTGCCCTCGGTGGCGGTGGTCCCGTGCTCTTTTCCGACAGGTGGAGGAGCGCGACGCGGCGGCTGCAGTCGGTGCCGAGCAGCTGGAGAGGCTACAGGTCGCCCTGGACTCTGAGGCGGAGGGCTCGCGCGCGGCCCGCGGGGAGGCCGAGAAGCGCGGCGCCGAGGTCCTGGCCAGGGCAGAGGGCATGGAGAGGCTGCAGCTCCTCCTGGACTCTGAGGCGGAGTGCGCGCGAGCAGCCCTCGGCCAGGTAGAGGAGCGAGACGCCGCGGTCGCAGCAGGTGTGGAGGGCATGGATCAGCTGCAGCACGCGCTGGATTCTGAGGCGGAGTGCGCGCGAGCAGCCCTCGCGGAGGTGGAGGAGCGGGACGCCGCCGTTGCACTTGGTGCTGAGAGTTTAGAGAGGCTGCAGCACGTCTTGGACTCTGAGACGGATTGCGCGTGGGAAGCACGCACGGAGGTCCGGGACCAGGAGGCTGCGTGTGCACTTGAGGCTCAGAGGGTGGAAAGGTTGCAGGACGCTTTGGAGTCCGAGACGGAGCATGCGCGGGCAAGCCGCATGGAGGTGGAGGAAAGGGACGACGCTGTTGCGGCTGAATCTAGGAATGTGCAGATGCTGCAACGCTTGCTGGACTCTGAAACGGAACGCTCGCGAGTAGCCCTCATGGGAGTTGAGGGGCGGGACGCCGAGGTCCTGGCCAAGGAAGAGGGCATTGAAAGGCTGCAGCACGCTCTAGACTCTGAGGCGGCATGCGCGCGAACAGCCCGCCTGGAGGCGGAGGAGAAGGACGCCGCGATGGCAGCAGGTGCTGAGAGCTTGGTGATATTGCAGCGTGCCCTGGACTCCGAGACGGAATCTGCACGAGCAGCCGCTGTCGAAGTGGAGGAGCGAGACGCTGCACTCGCAGCAGGTGCAGAGAGGTTGCAGCACGCGCTGGGTTCTGAGGCAGAGTGTGCGCGGGAAGCTCGTGCGGAGGTGGAGGAGCGGGATGCCGTGTGCGCACTCGGGGCCCAGAGCCTGGAGGGGTTGCAGCGCGCCCTGGACTCCGAGGCGGAGTGCGCGAGAGCAGCCCGCGCGGAGGTGGAGGAGCGAGACGCCGCGGTGGTGGCCGGGGCCGAGAGCCTGGAGAGGCTGCGGCACGCGCTGCACTCCGAGGCGGCGTGCGCGGCCGGCTCCCGCGCGGAGGGGCGCGACGCCGCGGCTGCAGCCGCAGCCCGTGCGGAGGGCCTGGAGAGGCGGGTGGACGAGCTGAAGGCGGAGCTGCGGGAGCGGGACGAGGCTTCCACGGCGACCGCGGAGAGGTTCCGCAGCCTGGAGCACGCGGCGGGGGCGTCCTCCCAGGCGGCGCGCGTGAAGGTGCTGCAGCTCCAGGGAGAGCTCCAGGAGGCCAGGCGCCAGGCGTCCAGCGCCCGCAGCGCCGCCGCCACCTCGGCGCCCACGTCTCCGGTGCCGTCTTCCTCCGCGTCGCCGCGGCTGCTGGCGCCGCGGCCGCTGCCCGCGGCGTCGGCCCCCGCCTCGCCAGCGCTCACCACGCCGTCGTCGCCGGGGCCGTGGCCTGCGCCGGCTTCGGCGCCCGCCACGCCCGCGCCGCGTCTGCGGCTGGCCGCCCTGGGGCAGGCCCAGGCCGGCACGTGGCTGGCGTCGGCGGCGACGTCGCCAGCGACGCCGCCCAGGTCCCCGGGGGCGCGGAGGTGGGGCAGGGCTTCGGGGCGACCAGAGCGGCGGGCTCGGGCCCCGTCCCTGGAGGCGGCGGGGGAGCGGCCGCGCGCCGGGCGCGCGGCCGCGCGCGAGGTGGCGGCCGAGGCGCGGGCGCTGCTGCGGGCGCGCGCGGCACTGCGCGAAGCCCGGGCCGAGCTGGCGGAGCGCGAGGCCACGGCGGGCGAGGAGGCCGAGCGCGTGGTCGAGCTCAGGGAGGCCCTGACTGCCGAGGCCACCGAGTCGCTGGACCTGTCGATGCACTTGTCGATCGAGGAGGCCGCGGCGGCGCGCTGGGCCGCCCAGGAAGGTGCGGCTCAGGAGCGCCTCGCGGCCGCAGAGGCCCTGGCGCGGGAGGCCGCCGACGAGCGCGGGGAGGCGCTGGCGCTGGCGGGCAGCCTGCGGGCCCGGCTGCGGTCGGAGGGCCTGGCCTGCGCCTCGCTGGAGGCGGCGGCCGCGGCGGCGGACGACCTGGCCGTCGGCCTGCACGCCCGCCTGGCCGCCGAGGGCGCGGCGCGCCTCCTGGCGGAGCGGCTGCGGGAGGAGTCCACCGCGCAGCACCGCGCGGCGCTGCGAAACGCGGCGGCCGAGGGCGATGCCGAGCGGCAGCGGCTGCGGGCGGCCAACGCCGAGGCGGCCGCGGAGGCCGCGGAGCTGCGGGCCGCCCTGTCCGCCGAGGCCGCGCGGGCGGACGGCGCGGAGGCGCGGCTCGCCGAGGGCGCGGCGGAGGCGCGGGTCGAGCGGGAGCGGCTGCGGGCCGCCGCGGCCTCGGAGGCCGACCGGGCGGCGGCGCAGGTCGCCGTTCGCGAGCGGGCGCTGGCGGAGGAGCTGCGGCGCGAGCGCGCGGCGGCCGCGGGGGGGGCGGCGCTCGCGGGCGCTGCGGCGCCCGTGCGGCGGGCAGCTGGGGGCGCGGCGGCGGCGCGGCGGTCGTGTGTGTGTGTGTGTGTGTGTTGTGTGTGTGTGTGTGTGTGTGTGTGTGTGTGTGTGTGCTTGTGTGTGTATGCTTGTGTGTGTGTCTGTGTGTGTATGCTTGTGTGTGTGTATGCTTGTGTGTGTGTGTGTCTGTGTGTGTGCGTGTGTGTGTGTGTGTGTGTGTGTGTGCGTGCGTGCGTGCGTGCGTGCGTGCGTGCGTGTGTGTGTGTGTTTGTGTGTGCGTGTGTGTGTGTGTGCCTGTGTGTGCGTGTGTGTTTGTGTGTGTGTGTGCGTGTGCGTGTGAGTGTGTGAATGTACCACTGTCTTACCTACCTCCTGTCCTCATCCGCTGCCCGTTCGGCCCATGTGTCGGCGCCATGGATAGACTTCCGATGTTCTGTCCCTGTGAGAGGAGAAAAAACCGATCGTCCATATCCTACGGATCTTTGCTAGGGTTGGCTCTTTGATCATTCCCTCCCGTGCACAACCCTTTTACCTAAGTAAGCGAGGCAGACCACAGATCGTGACGGCGGCAGCCTTCTCTCGTCGTTCTCGGCCTCTGGCCCCACGTCCGTCGACGGAACGACTCGGGGCGAGAGTCTGGCCCCTCGGGGAAGTGGTCGAATCAGAAGGAAAGTAAGCACACAGACACAATTAATCCTCGATTCCCTAGAAAATATGGGAAACTGTGGGAAGTGGGGGGGGGGGGAAGACAGAAGCTCAGAAAACATGTGAGAATATGGGGAATCTTTTTATCTGCGTGTATCTATCTGTGTGTCCCAGGGCCCCTTCATCGAAGCCCCTGGGCGCTGGCGTCGCGAACAGAGCGCAGCGCCACACGAGACTGAGAGGCCACGCTGGGGGCGGCGGTCGCCGAGCGGCTCCTGGAGGCCGACCTGGAGATCGGGCGCGGCCTGGAGGAGACGGCAGCGCGCCGCGGGGGGCGGCGGGGCGGCCGTGGGGCGGGCGGCTTCTCTCCTCCGGCCCTCTGCGGGGCCTCCTGTGGTCGAGGGCAGTAGAAACGCCCCTGCCCTGGTTTACGAGGCGCTGTGCGCTGAAACTCCTGTGCGCTGACAGGGTGAGCCCTGCGTGATGTGCCGCGTCCTGGCGGCTCTAGGCTTCGGGGGGTCCCAGGAGGTTTGCAGACCACGCGCTTGTAACCCAGGCTGGGGTCGTTTTTTCATTCCTCAATGTTGGGGAAGCGCGAGGCCCGGGTCTGCCGGAGCTCGGGCTTGCCGCCGCTTCCAGGGCTTCCCTGGCCTTCGCGTCGGCGGTCCAGTCTTCGGGAGCACGCCTGCAGCCTGGAGCTCGCGCCAGATTTCAAGCCGGGCCCCCTTTGTTCTCCTGACGGCCCCTGTCAGGCAAGCTGGTGCCCTCCCCCAAAACTCGGGGCTGCCGTCCCCCTGACCCTTCGGAAGACGCCGATCCTCCCCCCTGAGAGTCGGGAGGCCCCGCGGTGTTGCTGGAAGGCCGCTCTCGGGTCGCCCCACCCCCTTCTCCTGACGTCGGGTGTCGCGTAGAAGTGGTCCTGGCCCAAGGCGCTCCTGGCCTTTCGCCTCGTTTCGGCGTTTCGGGGGCCTCTAAGGCCCCTGGGCCTCGTGGGGGTGGTCTGGAAGCAATCTGCGCATCCCTGGGAAGCGGAGACCACCGTGGGCCAGTGCCACTTCCAGCAGCACCCTCCGACTACAAGGGCTTCCCCCTCCTCCTTTCTCCACAACTGCCTTACGCAACCTTCTGTTGTGGTCTCGCAGCACACACGCATGTCTTCCACACGACGGCAAATGTATACAGGCCACGGCGTCTCCCGCCTAGCCTCAGACAGACTCGGAGGATGCTCCGCATTGGTGGCTCGATCTCTCGCTCCTGTCGACTACACAAGATTTTCCCTTCGCCGGAGTGACCTTTGGTGCGGGCCCACTGGGGTCCCCCGATCGCCGAACGCGATGTGGCAGTAGCGTCTTGCGTGCTTGTGCTTGGCACCCCCCCGGTCCCCAGAAAGCCGCGCACCAGAGGTCACTCTTACCCCGAGTCACTCATTGCGTGCAGTCAATCAGTGGGGGGTGACCTAGATTCGGGGCGAACAAAAGGGCCCTGAGGGGGCCCTCCTCCACGGCACTTTTTGGAGCCGGCAGGAGCCCCCAAAAACAAAGACCCCCCCTTTGGGGTTTCCTTCTTCACCTCCCCTGCGGTGTGGGCCACCCCCCACTGCAGTCAACCCCTGGGCAACCTTCCCAAGGGTACCCCTTGCATCCTTGCCTCCTCGGCCCATCCTGGGCCACTCTCGTTGGCCGCGCCCCGCTCGCGAAGCTTCGGAACGGCCTTCGGAGGCCCTTTTGCACCCTCACCGCGCATCCTTACGACACGGGCTGACTGCACCGCCCGCCCGAGGCTCGCTCGCTCGCTCCCGCTGCGCCGCCCGAGGAGGCGCTGGCCGCGGCGGAGGCCGCCGAGGGCTCCGCCGGGGCGCTCGCCGACCTGCGGCGGCAGGCCTCCGAGCTCCGCGCCGCGGAGCAGGCGTCGGCGCAGCGGTGCGCCGGGCAGGCCCCTCGCCGGCCGCCGCGGGGCCGCCGCCGAGGGCGGCGGCGCGGCGGCGGCGGCCAGCAGATGTCAAGGGAGGGAGAGCCACCCTGACCCACATAATTGGATGATGGTGGTGGTGATGGTGGTGGTGGCGATGATGAGGATGGTGATGGTGATGGTGATGGTGATGATGATGATGATGATGATGATGATGATGATGATGATGATGATGATGATGATGATGATGATGATGGTGATGATGATGATGATGATGATGATGATGATGATGATGGTGATGATAATTGTGATGCCACTGGCGACGATTATGATGATGATGATGATGATGATGGTGGTGGTGATGATGCTGTGTTTGATGATGATGCTGATGATGAAGGTGATGTTGATGATGATGCTGATGCTGATGCTGCTGCGTCTGATGATGATGCTGATGATGATGATGTCGAAGATAATGATGATGTTGATGCTGATGCTGATGCTGATGATGATGATGACGCTGACGACGCTGAAGATGAATATGACGATGGTGATGATGATGATGATGATGATGATGATGATGCTAAAGATGCTAAGTATGATGATGGTGATGCTGATGCTGCTGATGATGCTGATTATGATGCTGATGCTGATGCTGATGATGGCAATGATGATGGTGGTGATGATGGTGATGATGATGATGGTGATGGTGATGGCGTTGGTGATGGTGATGACGACGATGATGATGCTGCTGATGCTGATGATGATGGTGATGATGCTCATGATGATGCTGATGTTGTTGATGATGATGGTGGTTGTGATGATCATAATGATGTTGATCATGCTTATGATGGATGATGATGGCGACGATGACGACGATTACGATGACGACGACGATGTGCGGGTGGGTTGTGCTGTTCTCATGTTAGAAGCCTCAGGGTTTAATCCTTGTCTGTTCCTCCGTGTCTATGTCAGTACAGCCATAGCTTGGAACAGAGACGGAAATGATGCAGTACACCATGCGCGGATTCTCATGCAGAAACTGGCTGAGCGAGGATATATTCAGCAAGCAGGCGCTTTCCATTGTTTATTGCTGTCGCTGCAGGAGCAGGGTGCGACCAAGCATGCGCACAAACCATGTCCGCAAGATCGACCTGAAAATACAGTTCTGCTCCCAGATCTGTGCAGCACACTTGCGTGCGACAGTTAACTAAGACAAAGGTATTCCAAGAAAGTCCTTTGGACCGACAACGTCAGTGCACATAGCGTTCCCGAACCTGGCAAACCAGGCTGTGAGAAAAAACAATACATGCGAGTGACCTCCGTCCGATGCTCTTGTGCAGTGCCAGTTAGACTGAAGAGCCCATTGAGGGCGAAAGCTACCTGCGCTTGGCACGCAGCGAATCAGCATCCGT